CGGTGCCTGAAGGGGCGTTGTGTGGAGCCGTCCATACATGCAAACGTTTTGGCGCGTTTTGGCAGCCTATTTCTATCAACGGCTGTCCGCCCCATGGTGGCACCGAGTGCTGGAAATGGGCCGACGTCGCCCAAAAGCTACGTGCGCAAGAACTTCTCTCTCTGACGCTCCGTCAGAGGCATACAGCACGATAATTCGGTACTTCCTCAGAAATAATAGCAGCGTGCCATATAGTGGAGAAAAAACAAAAAAAAGCGAAGGTAAACGTCCAAAAGTCTGCAAAAAACCTTTGTTTCGCGCTGCATCCAGCGAGCCTTTTTGGACGAGCTTTCCGTAGGCATCATGCCAACAACCGCTTTGTTGGATACGCCCTCACTATGTATTCAAATATCCATGCGAAATGCGTCATATCAACTGTACTTCACAAATGAAGCGATAAGAGCCCTAGCATCGATGGGACTGTACGGACAATTGTGAGCGGGCGGGTGCGATGGGCGTCTGGGTGGATATGTTGCAGGTTGACGGGGCGTTGTAAAGGTTCTTTTGTTGAAAAAGGCAGCTTGCAGCGCTTGCTCAGGGCAATGAGTTCTGTCCTGCTAAGTGTATTCATCCTACAAGCCTTGTGGATTTATCGTGCCACCTGCCTTTGAAAGCATATGGCACGATAATTCTGTACCTGCTCTAAAATGCTGGCAGGGTACTATATAATGAGGAAATGGTGAAGATAAGAAGTGCAACGGTCAAAAACCTGCATAGACAAGCCTCCGTTCTTCATGAATCAGAAGGCAATTACGGTCGTCCATTTGGGTCGGTATGTTGTAGCTTGGTAGGGCCCTTATAGGGGTACATTTCTTAAAAAAGGCGCTAAGCAGCGCCTGCTCAGGGGCGCGGAGATTCGTCCTGCCAAGAGTATCAGTCCTACTCGTCTGTAGGGAATTATCGTGCCAACTGCATTTAAGCGATATAATAGTGAGGGCCACGCGATGGCGCGACTATGCCACGTCATGTCTTTTTGTATACCCCTCCCACGAAAATGGAAAGTGGGAAGCGCCCGAACACTTGGGAAAGATGCCACAAAAGAAGGCAGATAAGACATGTCATTAGATTAATTGATTAATTAATACAATTAATTGCTGACTTAGCAGGAAAACGGACTAAGGAATTGCCTCAGTGAAAGGAAGAGGAGAATGCGATACATACTATTTTCCAGGGTCCAGGACACATTAATCTGCATGGTCGCATTAGCGCGCGCAAAACGTTCGTAAACACAGCAACAAAGCTTTTCCTCTTTTTTTTGAACTAGTAGATCCCTCCTTTTGGAAAGAGAAACACTCAAAAGTACACATCAGGTGGTGGTGGCCAATATACTTGAACGTCCCCTACCCTAGAAAATATGGTCAAAGAAATTAAAGCTACGAAATAGGAGTAGTCTAATTTAGAGGAACATGTAGAAAGAAATACACCTAGAAACGAAATGACTGGACAAGATCTCCATAACTGTCTTTCTCTCCGCACCTTCTCCAATTTTAAAGGCAGTTGGCACGATGGTTTCCTACTTAGCCTAAAATGCTAGTAGGCGCTGTAGTGGGGAAATGGCGAAAGAACGGAGTGAAACGGTCAAAATCCTGCGAAGAAAAAGCCTCCGTTCTCAGTGACTTGAAAATCGATTTCGGACGAGTTTCCCGTAGGCATCTTACCAATCACCGCTACCGAAGATACGGCTGCATGTACCCATATATGCATGCAGCATCACGGCCGCTTCATACCAATCCCTTCGCTTCATAATTTGCTTAGCAAATGAATGAATACGAGCGTCCATTTGTGGGCGGGCGGGCGTGGCGGGCGTTTGGGACGTAAAGTTGTGGCTTGATAGGGCCCTTATAAGGGCACCTTCCTCGGGGAAACCGCTATGCAGCGCCTGCCCAGGGTCGCGGAATTCTATCCTGCCAGGAGTATTGATCCTAGTCGTCTTGGGGATTTATCGTGCCAACTGCCTTTGACTGTAAATAATTGCACGGCCTGGTATTTTTTCGTTGTTTTTTGATGACAAAAATAAACTTTAGGTATCAAATACAAGAAAGAAAGCGTGTAGAGACTTCTTTATTTTTTTTTGTTACCTTTTGTGCTATTTTCTGAGCTACAAAACTATGAGATCTGAACGTTTTCTTGATTACGAAATCTTTTCCCTTGAACCAAATGGCCAATTATTTTTATCGTGAGAATCATTTTCATCGAAATTCCAGGAGCAGTTTGAAGAGAAATAGAAGAAGGCCTGGAGCGCAGTTATCACAAAAGCTTTCCTCTTGAAGCGGTTGGCCAATTATTTTCATAGTGAAAATCAATTTCATCTAAATTCTAGGAGCAGTTTGAATAAAAAGAGATAGTGAAAATCATTTTCATCTAAATTGTATGAGCAGTTTGAATTAAAAGAGATAGTGAAAATCATTTTCATCTAAATTCTAGGAGCAGTTTGAATAAAAAGAGACGAAGAGCTTGGAGTGCAGTGATTACTTTTGCACTGTCTGGTATGAAGGGTTAACAGTTAAGGGTCAGTAAAGATAATTGCAATATTGTGAGAATTGTCAATGATTAATTACTAGTTATATGGACATATGAAGTTGGGCAGCAACTGAACAGATTCAAAACCGGCCAGCTACTTGGTGAGTGTATCGAGTGGATTTATGCATAAAGAACAAGCCTGTATCATCATACCCTCGTTTAAGCGAGACCACTTGGCTCATACAAGGGAGACGATGAGGGCGAACGTGAGGGGTGAAGGAATAAAGAATGCAAATAGGGCGTCGTTACGGTATTAAACGACAAATTGTCTATCTTTGTCGGATTCCAGCCAACATCCATTTCATTTGAAGCAATATCTATGAGCAAATGCTGTCATAAGGCAACCCTCTACCTGTTGCTTCCGTCAGCAGTCCGTCTTCGGCAGTCGATGACTGCCGGATATTTGGTGGTATTTGGCTTGTCAACTCAATATTTGCTCCGAATCCACTAACTCACGGAAATTGTGCCGTTTTCGGGAATTTTCAATAGGTAAGATATGTAACAGTAGTAATAGTATTGTAGAAAGAAGCAGTGAGGTGATTGGAGATAGGCTCACTTAGAACAATAGGATTGCCCGCACAAAGTCAGAAAAGCGCTTCTGTGGTAAGACGAAATGAGCTGAGTTTCTTCCAAAGAAGAGGTAATGTGTAGGTGCAGCCAATGAGCTGAAAAGGGCTGTTCCTCAGAGTTATCATTCATTCATTTGCGATGCCTCTGAACAACAATTTGTCTGCCCATGCCCAAGAAGACAACGATATAGAGCCCATATCTCGGAGATCAGCAGGGCGTGTCGCAGGACCCAGATGTGAACGCAGCGGAGCTGAACAGCTGCTGGTTCTCTTTGAGAAGCAGGCGTGCATATACAGTTGATCCCTGCGGATGATGGGGCGTTCCAAGGGAGGATGGGTTTGGCGCGGCGCCTTTCCTTTATCTTTTCCAGGCAGAGACTGCACCGTGTAGTTCAAATCAGTAGTTTCCTACCATATGTTGTCGCTTACTCGCTTCAGCACCGTGGAGAACGGGCTGACGGCGTGCTAACCCAGCCGGCAGGTCGATGTGGGGAAAGTCGATGCACCTTTCACCTCTCTCTGCCCGAATCGGACTGTGCCCGGCAGGTGAGGTTCCTGAGGTATGAACCATTTGCAGGTTACTAAGAATATGGTGTGTGATACGCCCTCCAGGTTACTAGAGTTAATATTGTGATACGCGCTGCCTCCCTATCTCAGTGAATCTGTGGAGAAATGTTAGCAAAAAAATGAAAAAATTTAAATGGCAAGACTGGGCGGAAATGTGCAAAACCTAATCAAACGGGAATTTCAGTTCTCGTGGTATACTTTCTTCGCGAACACTAATTTGGATCAGGTATATTTCCAGGCCATAACAGTATGGTAAAAAGTCACAAACTTACAGTTGGGTCTGCTATCATCACCAGTTTGCGTTGATTTTGTTATAGGCGCATTATACTGGTTAAACATGGCATCTATTAGCTCCTGGCCGTGGTCAAATCTTTTTCCCATCACTCATAGA